AAAATATAATTTTACTTAATATTAATATATAATAAAATTACCATTTATAGTAACAATATTGTCTCAACAAATTCATTCCACAGCTAGCATCTAGAACTTGTCAAAATCCATGTTAAAACACCGCATGGTGCATGCCTTTAATCCCAGCACTCAGGAGGCAGAGGCAGGCAGACCTCTGTGAGATTGAGACCAGCCTGGTCTATATATATAGTGAGTTCCAAGGGCAGCTGGGACTACAGGGAGACCCTGTCTCAAACAAAACAAATCATACAAACAAAACACAGAAATAAAATCAGGAGAAAGCAAACAAACTGGGCCACTTTTGCAGCTCTAATAGCGTTGTCCAATTGCATTTACAACATTTTTCCCTCAGCAGAAAAACTACAAAACCCCTAATAATTTATATAAATGTGAAATCATGACAGCGGACTTAAAGAAGTTACATGTGTTACAACAATTTTTATTGGAAATTTGTCACAAATTATTTTAAGAATCTAGGAAGATATGCATAAGTAATTCAAAATTAGTCAATATTTCAATATTCTTCAAAATAAACTCCAGAGGAAGTTTCTTTTTAGATGCTTATGGCCAAAATCTGAATAATTTTCATAATTTTAAACTGGATCTTATTTAAATTTTTTTCAAATTAGAAATATTTCCAAGTAGACCTGCACGTTATGAATGATACAGAAACCCACCTGTGAGAGGTGAAGGAGATCCAACTGGTGTTGATGGGTTTGATGGAAAACTACTGCTTGTATGGTCAGGAGAATAAATCTAACCAGAAAACAAGAGACACATACCCATTACTATGTGATGGTAGCAAAATCCAAACCAATTCAAAGGAGCTGTTTTTCAGGTCTAAGTCACCACCCCAAGGTTCACAGGGAAACTCATCAAACTGAAGACTATTCTGTTAATAAAGCCAAAGTAGTTTCAATTTTTAAACTAGGACAAAAATATACAATTTCTATCGTGAGAGGAATAGATATCTACTTCTTAATTATTGTGGTTGGAAATAATGTAGAAGTTTCTAATTATTAGCACAGGAAACCAAGAAGTGAAGTTGGGAGGCAGAGGCAGGAGGATCACATGTTCAAAACCAGCCCAGGCTACACAGTGAGCTATATAAGACCTTGTCTCCTCCCCCATAGGGGTAGGGAAAGAGGGAGAGGAAAGGAAGAGAAAAAAGAAGTGAAGGCCAGGTATAGTGGTGCACACTTGTAGACAGTTTTTGGGAGGCAGGAGCACTGTGATTTTAAGGACAATTTGGGTACACAGTAAGATCAAGGCCAGTCTAGACTTGATGTGAATCCTTGTCTCAAAACAAATGACCATAAAGATATTTTAAAAATAATCATTAAAGAATATACCATCTAAATAATATAAAAATTATCTCACAAAACTACTTTTTTTTTTTTTTTTAAGAAAGGGTTATTTTGCCTTGGGTGTTTTGAGGGATTGAGGTAGGTAATCAATTTCCTGCTGTCTGTGCCTTCCAAGTGCTAGGATAGGGTCTGAATACTCAGTTTCAGGCAGACCATGAACTTGTGACCTTCCTGGCTCAGCTTGAAAGTTCTGGGATTACAGGTGTGTGTTCCACCAAGCCAGACTATGTTTTAAAATGGCCTTTAAAAAAACATGGTTTTGCCAGGCGTGGTGGTGCACACATTTAATCCTAGCACTCTGGAGGCAGAGGCAGGCAGATCTCTGTGAGTTTAAGGTGAGCCTGGTCTACATAGTGAGTTCCAGGCCAGCTGGGGCTATAGGGAGACCCTGTCTCAAAAAGACAAACAAACAAACAAACAAAACATGGTCTTGTTTTTTTCTTTTAAGTTACTCCTGTATCTCCTTTAAAAAGTTCTTTGTTGGATAAACAAACATTTAATCAGTTTTAGCTCCACTGATTGTGTGCTGTAAAAATGAAACTTCTTCTCAAAGGATATTCTGTCATTCTTGGAGAAAGTACAAAAACCCAAGTGTTCCAAAAAGTGTCCCCAAAATGACTGAGGACTTCTGAGCAGATTTACTGGGAGAGCAGTTTACCCAGAGGCAAACATTTGGTGTTCTGCATAAAACACACACACACACACACACACACACACACACACACACACACACACACACACAAGGGGGATAGAGATTTATCTGATAATAGAAATGGAGATTTATCTGTTAATCGATAAGATAAATATTTTAAAAAAATCCGTTTAGTCTGGGCACTAGTTCCCTAAGGTCTCTTGTGTATCAATCCTATTCTTCTTAAAGGCATAATAGTCCATCATTTTTATGTTTCTGCACTTAAGACACAAAAGTCAACTTCTGAGGCTAAATTGTGGACACATATTTTTAAAAGGAAAGTGGTTAAGTATAAAGACTGTAAACAAATAATCTTAACTTTTTGTAACCTTGGAGTTCAAAGGAATTGAAAGCTATTCAAATCATGACAAATACATTAATTTTAAAGAAAATACAATCTTTTTAAACATCTGAAACAGGCAGATACTGGGGTGGGTTCATGTAGATCAAAATCCCACTAGTTACAATTGGCAAATAGCTTTCATTTAAAAAACTTACTAATTCCAAACTGCAAATAGTTGAGTCTTTTTCCTCTAACAGACTAACCTACTTCAAATAAAAGACACACATCTGCATGATGTTTATAATTTATAGTTCTCAATGCTTTTAAATAATAACTCTCTCAAACAGCCAGATCTGGAAGTTGTATACGCAGTTAGGAAGCCATTTTGGAAAATCAAAGCTATAGAAAACAGTCTTTGGGAAGATTTAGGAATAGGAAGTTGTAGAAGATCAGTATTGTTAGTTTTAAAGTTGTTACTTAGGGCTATAGCTCAGTGATTCTACCCCCAATACAAACAAACAAACAAACAGCTGTTAACTTCCAAAGGCATTACCTTTCCACATGTTCACAGGGCTGGGTATGGTACAGCATACTAGTAATCTCAGAACTTGGAGCTTGAGGAAAGAAGACTGCCTAGCCCAAGGCTATCATGAGCAATATATGAGCCCCTGTCTCAAAACAATCAGCAAACGGAACTACAGCAAACCAAACCAAAAATTTATAGATGAATAAAAACTAGCTTCAGGTTCCATTTTGGTTCCCAGGGGTTCAAAAACATAAACTGACTTATTTAAGCTGTGTAAGTACATTAGGTAAGGTCACTAAACTTTAACAAATACATGCCTCAACACCTTTATCATTGTAAATCAGTTTCCTATATTTGAAATTCAAATAATTATACCTTTTATGAGCAACTAATGCTAATTATAAAATAGGTCTTGAATATAATATTAGTAAAGGAGGGGATGGCTGATTATACTGGTGAGTATGAGAAAAGCTTCATTTCCATACAAAATCCCATAATCACAAATTTGCCTAGCTTGCTGATTGTTAATCCTCACCTATGAGAACCCGTTAAATCCCTGGAGAGCTAACTCTCTCTGCCACACCCACAGCTCCTAGCTTGTCCTGGTGCTTACACTGTATTTCTAACCATCCATTGTCTGTCTCCTACCCTTTCTGTAGTAAAATGTGAGCTCCAGAAGAGCAAGGGCTGTCTAGTCACTGCTATGGTTTCAGATGCACAGCAGTGTTGATGAATGGCGAGAACCTGCACTAGGATTTCCAACTAGTAACTGTTAACTGGCAGGCTAACCTACACAGCATTTCTCTTCCCCTTGGCCAGGTCCCTTCAAAGTTTTCCTTTCTAGACACCTGCAGTTTATCTTCTCGTAATGGTACTCTTTGTAAAGTCCTGCCTGGTGAATGGCTCCTAAGCTGGCATCTCTCTCCTCATAATGGCTGCTGACTTCACCTAGACAGTCTCTTTTTCCTGGACAGATGTCGTGCCCCAACTTTACATCAATACTCTCTGCTACCTCTCCTTGTGTTTCTCTACTTTGATTCAGCAGCAATGTCGTGACCCCTTCTTCTTCCTTGGGCCCCCACTTTTCTTGCTGTAGACACCAATATTCACAATTCTGTTTCTAGGATAGAGACATACCATTCTCACTGCTACACCATTTTAAAACTGTGTGTGTAGCTGGACATGGTGGTGCCCACCTTTAATCCCAGCACTCAAGAGGCAGAGGCAGGCAGATCTCTGAGTTCTAGGCCAGCATGGTCTACATAGTGAGTTCCAGGACAGCTGGGGCTACAGGGAGACCCTGTCTCAAAAAAAGACAAAAACAAAACAAGACAAAACAAAAACAAACAAACAAAAAAACAAAATGTGTGTGTACAGGTGTGTGGGTCAGAAGTAAATGTCAGGTGTCAATCCTCAGGTGCTGTCCATCTTTTTGGAGATGGGGTCTCTCACTAGCCTGGAGCTCACCAAATAGGCTGGGCTGGCTGGTAAACAGGCATCAGAGATCCATCTGTTTCTGCTTTCCCAGTGTTGGGATTACAACTTCATTGACAAAACTGTACCTGAAATTTACTATAATACTTAACAGTAAGAGACTCTTTAAATGGCAGAATGTACCTTAGTATTTAGGAAATGGGAGTTGATAATAGAACTAGCAAAAGGGAATGAACCTGTCTTGGATGGTTTCACTCTAAATCCACTGCATGGCATAAGCTTTTTGGAAAAATAACGTGGTGAAGTTCCATGATTCCTGAAAATTAGTATTACTATTCTAGGCTGTGAAATCTCATACTAGTAGGCACAGACTTCTTCTGATGGTATAAATGGACTACCAACTCCTACCGTTTCTAACAGCACTGTCCTTACTGTGAAACATGGGTGACAGCTCTTTTATATCGAAGGAGGCAGAGATTATACTCCAGAGTCAGCTATGATACTATCTTAAGTGGCAGGAGAATGTTCCAACACACTAAACAGGTGTGATCTTGAATAGGCGAAGCCGTACCAAAAGTGTATCAAGGAAAAAAATGTATTTCTGGCATCGTCCAAAAGAAGCTTCTTCATCTGTACAGTAGAGTCATTTTTACCATTTTCCCATCATATTTACTGTTTCGAATTCACCAACTGGAGTGATTCCAGAGAGAATTATTATTCTTTACCTGTACTTAGGGACAGTCTAGCAAGTTACAAAAAAAAAAAAAAAAGTTGGGCATGGTGGTACATACCTTTAATCCCAGCACTTGAGAGGCAGAGACAGGGAGATCTCTGAGTTTGAAGTCAATCAGGGCTACACAGTGAGGATTCCCCCTACCCCCACCCCCAAAAGGTATCCCTTGGTAGCCAAGATGGCTCAGCAGGTAAAAGCACTTTCTACCAAGTCTGACAACCTGAGTTCAATCCCTAGTATACACATGGACAGAGAACTAATTCCTGAAAGTTGTCCTCTGACGTCCACATGGTGTATCACATAGCACATGCATATCTCCTGAACCTCCATTAAAAAAAAACCTCTCTCTCTTACTTTCATTCAAGTGGGGAGAAGAATAAAAATATCTTGCAAGTACAACACAACCTTTTGGATCACAGATTCCTTAACCTTTCTTTCTGCAGGTTTATTCTAATACAAAATTATAAGCAAATTGCATTTATTTAATAGAAATTATGGTAATTCTTGAGCCGGGTGCGGTGTGGTGGCGCACACCTTTAGTCCCAGCACTCGGGAGGCAGAGGCAGGCGGATCTCTGTGAGTTCAAGGCCAGCCTGGTCTATACAGTGAGTTCCAGGACAGCTGGGGCTACAGGGAGACCCTGCTTCAAAAAGACACACACACAAAAAAACAACAAAACAACAACAACAAAAAGAATTCCTAAAGAAATCCTAAACAATAGGCTGTTTTTTCTTTTTTGCAAATGAAGATTTCTTTCTAGACTTTCGGGCCTTTGTAAGCTTCAACATTGGTGTTCAAAGGGAAAAAAGTAGAAAAAAGTCATTCTAAAAATGGGGGTTGGGAGTGACGGGAGTAAACATAGAGCCCACTGGGCATGCGGCCCACAGTCACTCACTGTTAGATGACCAATGATGAGCAGCTCCCAATACCTTCTGCCAGGCTTAAATGTTAATATTTCTCATTTTATTGCAACAAATGAGGCTCCTCCTCCTATCAGTCATGGTCCATTCTAATCAGCAGGGTGCCAATAAAGCCAGAGGCTAATGAAAAGAGCCTCAGACAAAAAGAAACAATAGAGAGCTACCAGGCCCAACCCTGAAACTGCAAGCCCAAGGTTTTAAACACTGCAGTGCACATTTCAGTTAATCTTTATTATGCTAATGTTATTGAGTCTAAGGAACAAAGAAACTTCTTTCATGAATTACTTTAAAATGTCAACTTTCCTGGATTTTTTTTTCTTTTGTTAGAGACTACTGACCATTTAACCATCCAGATTAAAACTCTTTCTCCCTCCCTCCCTCCCTCTCCCTCTCTCCTTTCCTCTGAGGTAGAAATCAAAACATAAATTATCACAAAGAAGTCTGATATAATCAACAAAGTTAAACAGTCCTCTTGTTTGATCTCTTCGAAATTAAAGACTGAATGTTTTGATATGGTATTAGGCACTGAAATAAACCAGATGTTTCTTCCTCTATATAACTCTCCATGGGCACAATCTTAAAGGGTTATTGTCTGGCAAATGTTCAGGGAAATACATTAGAAATGGCACGAATACACAGATTTTCCTTTCCTTCTATCTACCCTAGTTTATTATCTAAACTAATGCATAATCCACAGGGCTTTGGGAACTTTGTGTAAATACTTTCATGTACAATTCTCTTTCTTACTATACTGAGATTAAGACCACAATTATCCAGGCTTAAACCTAAAATAAAGGAACCTTTGCAAATGCATTATCTGGGCTTCCATGTTTAATCACACAGTACTGTGTGCTCTTTAATACCTAAACTGAAGAACAAAGGTTGCACCCTCTGGTGTTCACACATGAAAGACCTTCTAAAGACACACATCAGACAACTGGGGAACTAGAATTAACTTCTAATGACAATGGCACTGCTTTCCATCTAAAAGTAGAAGTTGCATTAAAGATACCACATTCTGAAATCTTAAAAATTCAAAATAATCAGGGTCCTAATTTCTAAAGATCTACAATACTTAATAACAAAATTATGATATCCATGTCAGACTTGCAACTGTAATCCTCATTAAGTTTCATCTTCTCATCTGTTCTAATCCTTCGAATTCTCAGATAACAGGCTGTTTTTGTTTTTAGTACATGTCAAGCACTAAACATTATTAATGAGAATGTTAGTCTGTAAGAAAGTTGGAGAGAAAATGTTATTTGGGGAGGTGGGGGGAGGAAGGAAGGAACGTGAAGTGTGCACATGAGGGTACGTAGTGATGGAGCAGATGGAATGCATCACCATCAGCTATGACAGAAATGATTTATGGAATGACCTGGCTGTTCCTGCCTAGTAACAACACAGGATGACAGAGATGAGTTTCCATGACAACCAGAGCCCACCCACTAACTAGATCAAACATTTCTTCCTTGGTTTCCATTCAGAGTGAATTTGGATTTTCCTCTCCAAATGCCTTCTTACTTTGGTTAGTATGCTGATCATAATACAGGAGGAAACCAATGATGCCCAGAGTAACTAAAAATAAGCTTGAAGGACCATTGAGGACATCACAAATTCCTGCTTGTGCATCTGCCACAGTTTCCTCATACAGCTTTTCCTTAAATAATTATTTTTTTAAAAAGTTGCTTAATATTCAGTGTTCAAATGCTATTTGTCCTCTGACATGTGAAACATCTGCTACTGGACATTCTAGAACCAGCAGAAGGAAAATGGTATGCCAATAACACACATAAGAGTCTCTTGGATTTGACGACACAGAATAATAATTTTCTTTCTACACACACATTTTTTTTTACAATTTTTTTAAGGAAGTAAATTCAGGTAAGTTGTGACAATTCCCTTTACTCTTCCTTCACAACTCTGTAAGATTAGTGCCTATAGAAGTTAAAAAATATATTTTATTACTTTTATTTTATGTGTATGAATGTATTGCCTGTATGTGTGTAAGTGCATCCATGTTATGCAATACCCATGGAGGTCAGAAGAGGGCATCGGATCCCCTGGAATTGGAGTACAGACAGTTGTTAGCCGCCATATGGTTGCTGGGAATTGAACCCAGGTCCTCTGCAAGAGCAGCCAGTGCTCTTAACTGCTGAGACCTTTCTCCAGCCCATTAGCAGTTTTTAATAGACAAAGCAGTGGAGAAAAGAGCAGTCTAAGGCTAGTTAGCTGAGATTCTATTATATATGAGCTCTACCCTTACTAGCTGGTGATCCCCAGGGCAAACTGCTTAATCTTTTTATACTTCAGTTCCTCATCTGTGATGTGGGGATAATGATGCCAATCTTACAGGGTTTTCTTGAGGATTAAATTAAATAAGGCATGTAAATGCTCAGTGTGTTGTCAAGCACCTAGAAAGCATTCCAACCACAGCTGATCATTTCTGTGGGCCTTGTTCATGTCGCCACCATTATATGCGCGAAGATTAAACCCCAGCAAACATTTACTAAGCTCCACTCCGCACAGGGTTCCACTGTGTAGTGGAAGGATTTGACTTGGCTTCATTTCCCAGAAAACAGCTACAGAGAAAAGTTCATTTACTCAAACAGTATATAAAAAGGTTTCTCATTTAAGTACTCAACAGCTGTTTACTTGCCAGTGTTCTACCTTCCCCATGAACATCAAGAAGCATGTTTGGCAGAGAAAATAGAAGACAACTCTGGGAATTCTAAGACATACTGCTCAAGAGTAAAGAAAGAGAAGGAAAACAAGTCAAAGGAGAAACTTCAGAAAGTATAAAGTAGAATGCCTCTTGAGTAGTTAGATTTGAAATCTTTGTAGGTAACTAATGAATGTTCTCTTTTTTCTAGTTCTAGCATTCCAAGTTAATTTTAACCTTTTAAGAGTCAGGTATTAAACTATAATCACTGTGATCCCTAATATGAAGATACAGACCAGTTACACGGTACTCTAGCACCTCTTTCAATTAGTCTTACTTCTTTTATCATGAGCTCTTAAAATTTAAGGCTCAAACTTTTTGTCTTGTTCTTTTTTAATGAATCAGATGCAGCTGATTTTTTTTTTTTCTTTCTTAAAAAAGTACAGGTAAGGGGCTGGAGATATGGCTCAGGTGGTTAAGAACACTGGTTGTTCTTGCAGAAGACCCAGGTTCGAATCCCAGCACCAACATGGCAGCTAATAACTGTCCATAACTCCAGTTCCAGGGGATCCAACAGCCTGTTCTGTCCTCTGCAGGCATTGCACGACACGGGTGCACTTACCTACATGCAGACA